AAAAAAAAAAAAAATTCTGCAGGGCCGGTGAAAATTTGTAGCAATTTGAATGGGTGGGGTGGGTGGGAGAGCTTTTTGCTCTGTACTTTTTTCAAACCCAGACAGAGGGGACTGTTCCACTACTAAAAAGTTTGTGACCCAGAATAAAACTATCCTTTCACACAATGCCAGCGTAAAAAGAGCTGTGACCACTTGCTGAGTGCCCCGCGTATGTCGGAGAGTAGTTTGTGTCAGGAGCTGATTAAAATACCAGGTGAGGCAGCACTGGCGCTGCCTGCTGGCTCTTCGGGTAGATCTCAGGTGAGTGGTTGAGTTCCCAGATCCTTTCCATCAGTGCTTGCAAGGATTGTATATTTGGGGGCCGAAGACTAAGTGTTTACTGTTGATTGGAGCCTGGAATGGCTGCCAGAGGGCAAGGCATGCCTTTGGAGTACAGGAACCTGGCCCCAGGTCTGCAATTTGGTATTTTCAAATCAGGTTCCTGGTCAAACCATCCGCTTTTTATTAAAAGAGCATTTTGCCATGTGGTGAAGCTGTTCTTTTAAATTAATTGTACTCACAACTGGCTGCAGGTTCGTGGTGATCCAAAGAATGTTTCTGGTGAGGTCAAACGTCGGTGGTTAAATCCAGGAATACTTGTGTCTGCAAGATCCGGGGTAGCCTGTTCACTTGTATTTTGAAGTGGAGCTCACCGATGGGAAGTGAAACTAGGAGTTGTAGTTGTGATGTTCTTGGCTGATGCGCGGAGGATGTGAAACACTTCAAAGCACTCTTTGAGAGCGCTGCTTGGCAAGAGTGCTCGTGTGGGCTGTGACTTTCAAAGCTGTTGTGGTTGCAGTATCCCGAAAGGCTGTTGTTTAGGACTGTTAAACTCAGTTGGAAGCCCTAATATAGTTTCTGAGTGACAGCTGTCATGTGTCAACCCTTTCCTTGTGTATTCTTCTGCTAGAGGGCATGGAGGTGATGACAGGCCCCTGTCCCAAGTCAACCAAGCTCTTCAAAATATAGAAAATAACTCTCTTGATTATCTTGGGCTTTATATATCTTTGGAATATTTCCTTAGAGCTGCTGACCTGACATTGACCATCCAGTGAAAGTTTGAAGACAAGAGATTGAAGTAGATCCCAGAGGAACAAACTGGTAGAGCTTCCAGAGAGGCAGACTAGATGAACTAACAAAGCTGAGTCTTATTATTCTAACATTATTATTTAATTCCAAGTTATTTAAAACAATTAGTCGATGCAATCTGGTTTTCTGTCTAGCTGCAGTATGGATGAATCTGAACCTTTACTCTTTTGTGCAGTGTAATAACGGTCCTTTGAGACTCTCATCCTGCTGCGACTAGTTTAATCAGAATTAGTTACTTTAAAGCAACCCTCTACGTACTACAGTCCTTTATTAATGGGACAGTGTTCCGAGACATTGAGATCTGAATAAATCAACAGCGTGGTTATGTGTGGTTATAAAAGATGCAGGGCTAAACTCTTCCGTTGACCCGGGGGTACAGAGCATGACTCGTGTGAAGAGGGTCCCATTCTCCTCTTGCATAGCTGCTTACAGGTCGGGAGACCTGTTCTGACTGGACAAAGTCAGGGATGCGTTGCTACCTTGGTACTACCAGTGGGAAACAGAAGCACAGTCCGTGCCTGTGGTTTGCCTGCTACCATGGAAATTGTCTGTGACCGAGGCAGGAACTTGGTCCAGCTCTTCAGTCTTCACTGATGGCTTGAAAAATCCTTTTCAGTAGCTTGACTGAATTTCATTTAAATGATAAGCATATTTGAAGTCTTATATTTTTTGTTTAGAAAGCATTGCATATGCATCTAAAAGCTTACCAATAAGCTTTTAGTGTTTACTACCTACTACTTTTGAAGGCAGCGTTACAAGCTCAGTAGATTCGTACTCCATACTAGAGCAAATAGTTTTACAGAGAACTTATCTGACATCTCATTCTGTTTGAGTTAGGGAGCCAGAGTTTCTGCCCTTCATCTACTCAAATGCGGAAGAAGGTTGCTTCTAGCTTTTATTTTAGTTCACAATCTCGTTGTATCAGTCAGGCCTGTTAGCAATATATTTGCATTTTGACTACCGTGTTTATCGTTTGGTAACTAATGCTTCAGCTGTCCATCTACTCTCACAGCACCTCCAATGCCACGGTGCGCAGCTTACAGGAGACTGTCCTGGATGGAGCACCCGGGAGGCAGATCTGCTGTGACGTTGCTGTGACGCTGCTGTGACGTTGCTGTGCCTTTTGGGGTCCAGCTCACAACAGAGAGAAAGGGAAGCACGGGAAGAATCATACCACGAGCCACGTGCCTGTGTTCTCCTTCCCCCTGTTTCTCAGCAGATGGGCTGTTTTCACATGAACACGTGGATGGGAATGTTACAGCTCTGAGTTTGCCGACCTCAAGCCTGGGCCTGTTGGGATCACCGATGTCTCATGGATTTCAAAGAATGGCTGCAGAGCAAATAAAGTTTATTCTGAATTTAGTGACTAAAGGACAAACAGGAGTGTACACTCAGCTCTGAGCAAAAGCAGAGAAAATGGCCCATGCAGGAGAAAGAATGTTGAAATTTTGTCTATTTGATATTGCAGTTTGTCAGTGCGATTTCCTGCTATTTCGTTCTTTGCTGACTATGCCACAGTCTGCCATATGTTTTACATACCTGTCATAGACTATAATTATTTTTTCTATCTTGCAAGGTGATATATATATAAGGGATTAAAAAGCAGCAACAACAGCTAAGCTGTCCCTGAAGATATGGTCCATCTGTGGGCTTAAATAACTAGTCTGCAGATGTTTTGAATCTTTAAATCCACAGCCTGTCAGCAAAGGATCTGGACTGAACGTTCATGATCTGAAGGAAATATATAGCTTTCATTTTATTTATCACTTAACTTAGACATGTTCTATATAATATGAAGCATGTGCTGTCATAGAGCTCATTGGGTATCAGCAGCTTTAAGGATCTTTTTACGCCATGATCCATGAGATTCCCCTCCGGAATGGATGGAAAATTCCCACTGATTTCCACAGGAGGGACCCACAGAGGGTTGCAGCCACTTCCTCAGTGGAGAGCAGCCAGCAACCACTCAGAAACAGGGGGAGAGTTATGTTCACAGTCAACAAAGCGGAGCACTTATCCTAATAACTGCCTAAGGTTAATGTGCGGTGGATAACACGAGGCTCATTAGCCTTAAGCGTAAGATTAACACCTTGAAAATAGCACAGGCAACTGGCGTGTCTGCATCAGGAGAGGGGCAGGGCTGTGGTGATCCGACCAGGAACCCGGATCTATCCCAAACATGAAGAAAGAAGGCAGTGCACCGTCTTAGATCCTGAAGACATACTGGCTGAAAAAGTCTAGAGAGGAAGAGAGTGTGGGGATGTGACTCTTATTATCCTGAAAGTTACCTGAACATTCCAAGATCTTCTCCCCATCAAAGTAAAATGCGTGTTCGGGAAGTTTAGCTAGCTTCTCAGCTAGGCTCGTTCTCTACAAGGTGAGCAATTTGTTTCTGTGGAAGAGAGAACACTGGGAGTGTGTCTGGGCGTGCGTATCTGCGTGCGTGTGCACTGACAGCTTTTGTCAGTGAAAACAGGATTTATCCTAGGCAGGACTATCAGAATAATGCTGATTATTTGCTCCCAGCTTTTTTAAAAAGCCTGAAAGGTGTTTAAAGGCATGCCTGGAATCCAAGCAATGGTATCACTGGATGCACACTGACAGGCAGCTAAAATATGTCGAGCATTTGGGGAGGGCAGAATTTAGCACACATTCCAGTCACATCTCCAACTCTGCTGCAATTAACCTTCCTTGATCCTTATACATATCAGCAGGCAGGAGGTCTCTGTAGCCCCTCACTGCCAAGGGCACCCAGCTGTCTGGGCACCTGTGCTGCACGTTAATCCAAGATCTTTCTACCACCGAACCCATCCCACTGAGAACCTCCCACCACCACCTCCCCAAATTTCCCAGTGTATGAAACTATTTACCAAGGTCACGGTATGACGCCTTTGCCAGTTGTGGTCATTTTAAAATCAGAGATTAACCCAGAAACTCTTACCCCGGGAGCAATGCCATTCAAATGAAAGAGACTGCTTAAAGTCAGAGGAATGGCAGATTTTCATATCTCTCGTCCGATACGTAAAAATAAGTTTTCCAGTTTGTGTCAAGTAATGAAAAGGGACAGCTATTAACATGAGCAGATTTTCCCTTATAGGAGGAATTTCCATGAACAACAGAGAAAAATGAAGTCAGGCTGGAGAATCAAGGCTGCTATTTGAAACAAAAATTGTGCAGTCTGGGCTGGCAAGCCAAGGATGTGAGTGAGTGTCCTCGTTTGCTAGGTCTTCCTACCCTTTTTGTACTAACAACGCGTAGTCACGAGGAAAAAAAAAAAAAAAAAAGATCATCCCTTAATTTTAGAAGACGAAAACTTGCCTCTTCGGTGTGTCTCCGTACCCACTAACCACCCAGGAGCAAACGGCTGTCGTCAAGCGCTGGACAACACGAGATCCACGTGCGGGAAGGAAAGAGGGCGCGCTCCAGGAAAGGGAAGGGACGAGCTCAGCGTGAAGTAAGGTACCTAAT